GTGATGTACTCTGATTACCAGGTTCCTCTATAGTGGAGGGTGCCAATATCCCATCTGCCTCTTCCATAGTTGTAGTTCTCTTATTTTGATCAGACCCAGAAGTTGCATCTTCTGACACACCTTTGACTTCATTTAACTGCTGGTAATTGAAATGGAAATCAAATACAAGAAACACCTGAGTTGAAATTGAAGCTGGGTGCAAAAGTGGGCACCCATAGATAAACAGACACACGCATAGAATCAATCAGCATATACTACATCTAAAGCACACCTTAATAAGTTAACATGCCTCATACAAAATTATTGACTGGGATTACTTTACTTCCAATATAAACCAACAGAGCACAGAAATGCCACCATATCTATTGTATAATAGTCTACAGTCAATGAAAACCTGTTCAACTGAATACCAAGAGAGGGGGAAGGGGGGGACGGTGTGATTAATTTCATCTTTGAGAATTGAAATCTAGTAAACAATTCAAAATTTGCAAATATATATCTCAGGCAAGGAAAAATACCTTAAGGTAACACTGATCACTGCATGGTTTCTTGTCACCTTCAGGATCAGACCATACTGTCTGTTTTTCACTCTGAAGTAAACCATCAAATTAGCCTTGTGGATGAGGTGATTATGAATTGAGTTTAAAATAACACAGGATACAGTTACTTACAGGATATACTAAAGGTTGAGAACAGCCATGAAGACGACAATCAAAAATCTGCTGTATGAAAAGCAAGAAAGAATGGATGCACTTACTATGAGATGATAGAATGATAAAAGTATCATGCTTTTAGCACATACCAGGCACCGGCGACAAAAAAGATTATCAAAAGAATCTAATGCAGCACTCAGGGTTTTCTCTGGAGAGATGCCAATAATAGATTCAGGATCTCCTGAGTTTTCCGAAGGCTGATCCAACCTACCAATGTTCTTTTCCTTAATACTTTTGTACCTCTCCTGCAGATTGTTTTCAAAATTTCTTCCAGAAATAAAAATGGCTTCTCAATATAAATCACCACATGCATTTTTTTCTTTTGAAGTTTGATTAACAACCATGAAGCATAATCTCGTTCCACAAGTTATGCAAGATTACCTGAATTTCTGAACTCTTGCCCCCAACAAATTCGCTAACAATATTCAGTACCTCCTCATTTAACCCATATTCCTCAAATGCCATCCTAGTAAATCAAATAACCAAGACAGTAATTATAGAAAGGGAAAGCCTTGAACATTTCATTAAAGTTTATAAATGTTATTAAAATTCTTGTGCGATCACAATAAAAGTATTGTTTCCTGAATACTAAGACAGTTATTTGCACTCCAACAGAACATTGATCTTACTTGTCAATTAAATGCTATTCATATAGCTAATGAGAAATGTTACAATCAAGATTATTCTACTTCCATTGAATCTTCACAAATAAATGGACCTTGTAAACACAGCTCTACCCTATTCATTCTAACTTACCACAGAACACGGTCTTCAGCCTCAGAAAATTCATGTTTTTCTTCCTCATGTTCTGTTAACTCTTCCTCACTGTCACTACATATCAGTGCTTCACTTCCATGTTGATCATAGTAGATTCGTCTTCTTCCAACAACTGACTGATCTTCAGCCATTCTCTGATTTCTGATGCATGTGAAAGATTTAAAATAGCATAAAAATATTATACAATCTGGGTACTCACTGATCAATAAACTTTGAAATCTTGGTTTCTGTTTTAAAATGGAAAGTAGGTAGCTTCAATTTGAAAAACAAAATTGCACAACAGGCCCATCAGGAGAGAACAATAATTATTTGAAAGTTAAAACACCTGTCCAGAAATATCCAAGAGGTATATGGCGGTAATCTTTCAATATATGGTATTTTGATACTTGTAGCAGATAATACATCTTGATTGTTGTGGTCTTTGTCTCCTGAGACCGGAGAGAAACCATTGAATTTACATAAAGGACGGTCAATTCTAGAAAGAATTGGAATTTTCCTATTTTCCTCTGTCTGTGAATAACCCCTTGTTGATATTGTTGATAGGACTCCTGAGGTATGACATTGTAGCTTCTTCTCATTGCTCTGAATTTTTTCCTGCAGAAATATAACTAAGGTTGATTGCAATGAGTACAAAAAGAGCCCTCTCAACATTGAAATTTTCCATTAAGTGAATTCAAGTTCAAATTAGCAATCATAACATAAAGTTGTACCCAGAAACATTAAAAGGAAAACTGCTTGCACCTCACACAAAGACTTGTCACCAATATAACCAAATTAGACTAATTGACTCTCTGAAAATGTCAAACAAGAACTGAAATAAAATTTAAATGTTACGAGATAGAGATTAAGACAATCTTCTCGAATAAATAGAAACAAAAAGTTATGTCTTCAGCAAACAAACTATACAAGTCTGGATACTTTCCTAGAAGAATAAAGCTAAGGCAGCATAAACCCGGTGTCAATCTTACTTTAATGTATACAATTCTCTCCGCCTGGATTTGCTTTTTCAACTGATTTATCTTGAGGGACAAGGTTCCCAATGCATCATTTGCAGCCTCTCCAAGTTGTTTCTGTCGACATTACAGAAAAAAGTTACCACGTTAAAAATACAAAAATAGAAAATCATAAAACAAAATCCGCTATATGCAGTAGCATGTAAAATTTCAATTCTCACTCATGAAGCAAAAAGACCATTCAATTAGTAACGGAAAATCTACAAGAAAGCAGAAACCAACATTGAAGACTAAGCACAATCCAAAAGCCCTACTCGCAACTCAAGTGTTGCGATATTCAATTACAGAGAGATAGAGGAACAGAGAGCTCTTAATGATGTTCGCTCGTGAATCCCATCAAATTAAAAATTCTATACAGGCATAAGCAAATTCTGAAAAGCAGTTACAAGGTGAATCAATAAGAAAAAAAATAGGAATTGAAACATTAAACAGCAAGTTATTCAGTTATTCTTGAATTGAAGGAAGAGAGAGAAACTGACTCGAGGTCTGGAAACGGAGTCTGTAGGTTTGGACACCATCGATGATGTGCCGTGCAGTGTAGAGTCGATCAAAGGAGGAAGAAAGACTCACTAGCTGTGTGCTGTGTGCTGTGTGAGAAAGAAAGTAACAGTTTCCTAGCTATGACACGTTTGGTTACATGGCCTACCGCGGAAACAAACGCAACGTAATTTTTGGTGGTTGCGTATAAATGGTAAGGTATGCACTGCTATTTTCTTAGTTATATTTTACACTTTTGCCTGTATTGTGGGAGTTAATTAAGTTTCATTTGGACTGATTCTTGCACTTTTTTTCTTGTGGTTGTGGTTATTGGGAAACGATCATGATATTTTAACCATTCTTTTTAATAATTTTTTGACAATATATTACTATTTTATTGTTCTATATATTTAAAACGGATGAATTATAAACTATTACATAATTATTAAAAAATTGTCAAAAAATGTTGTTAAAATTATTGGGAACGTCTTTCATTCGTCTGGTTCTTTTAACTGTACGAAAAAAAAAAGTTCAAAAATATATGCTAAGACCATTTCACTAGGTATAATTGCAATGAAAGTATCTGATGAGTTTTTTTCAATTTCTTCTTGCAAAAATTATATATATATATATATATATATATATATATTAAAGATTGAGATTATTTTTAACTTAAAGTTTCAAAAAGGAAGTTTATAATTTTTTTCTTATATAATACATAATTTTATCATTTTTATATAATATAAATATTAAAGATAACTTTATATAGTTTTTTTCTTAATATAAATTTTAAGATTCATTATTCCAACAGCATTCCCAGTATTCTCGGAGTCAACCTCACGAAATAAGGGGTTCGGGTAGAATGATTTAGTGCTCTGTGACACATCGGAATTGATTTAACCTACCCTGTCCTACATTTATTGTGTCCCCTTCATCTTCACCATTGAAAATATTAAGATTTTTTTAGAATATGATGATGGTGAAAAAGTGTCAAACTTCATTGAAGTGATTTTTCACAAAAGTTCATTTATTTAATATGATCCACTTTCAATCAAAAAGTATATTTGAAAATCTTGAAAAACAATTGGTCAGGGTGTAGAAAAAAAGATGACTAAGATTTCAAAAACAAAAAGAAATAAATCTTGAGCCGGTTAAAGATACAAAATTTCTGAAGAAAACAACACTTATAAATAATTTCAGGTGATTAGGAGAAATACAGATTAAAACAAGTGATGACAATGTAGATGATCAATGCTTAGGTGTGTAAATCTTTTAATTTAATCATTAAGCCCACAAGTTTGTCATTTTAAGGACAAAGAGAAATGCAAATGTGTAAGTGTTATTCATAGAAAAATAAATCGAGAAAAAAGTAATAAATAATGGTGGATTATTTGAATGAAAAAAGAAATCAAGCTGATACAAGAGCACACCGATTTCTTAATAATGGTGGATTATTTGAATGAAAGACATTAATAGTTATTCATGTCTTTTTATAGCATGTTTATAAGAGATTACATTGATTATTTAAAATAGAGATACTTGTTATTTCATACATAAAAATATTAATTCTCTTACTTATTTAGTGTCTGGTTTGAAGAGTGGAGAAAAGAAGGAAAAATATAAGTCTCCTATTTCTAAAATATACGAAACTATTCGACTAAGAACAATTTCATGTTTCTACAAAAGGATTTATCTATTTTGTTAAATTGAATTTTGAAGTATTACTTATCAAAATTTTAACTTTTTTTTATATATATAAAAAGTGAGAACTTAATGATTTTTTTTCTTAAAAACAAAAATTTTAAATACAAGAATGACAATTCTTTTTAAAAAAGAATAAGAGTAAGTAAAATAAAAATGATGAAATGTTAAAGGTGGTGAAACACAGAAGGAACACAGAAGGAAAAACACCTTTCAAATAAAAAGTTTCAAGTTATTATAAAATATAGGTTTAACAAATACATGGATGAAAGAAGCATGAAGGGGAATTTCATGGAAAGAAACCACAATTGAAATCAAATTAAAGAAACTTCCAGGCTGAGATTGAATGAATTGTGGTTCCTTTCCATCCAATTATTAGGCATTTCCCGTTTCTTTCCACAGTGCAGAAATTCCCACACTCAAATTTTTTGGTAACCAAGTTAGCTTGGTACAATGATGAATCGCTAAATGTAGTCTCCACCATTCTATACCTTGCAAAGAATCTTCTCCAAACATCTATCTTTACATCTCTAACCTTTCTTTCTCCATCTTCCATAGCAACAATGTTCCGTATCCCTTCTGATAATATTCCCTCAATTCGCATTCTGCACTCATAATCTTGCTTCATGCAGGTGTAAATGCAGTCAAAATATGCTGCATAGAAGAAAAATGCTTCAATGAAGCGATTCACAAAGGAGGGTGAATTGTGCTTTGCTTCCAACTCAAGAACTATCATTATAGTTGGTCTGATTTTTGTCATCACCCGCATCAAGTGTTCCAAAGAGACAAAATCCGACACCATCGTCCTCAGCATATAAGGAGAATAAACAGCTACAGCTTCGTCATCTTCAATTCCAAATTGCTCAGCCTTGATCTCTGTGATGCTTCTGACGAAAACTATCTTATATAAAAAGGGCAAGTTCAAGGATTCAGCAAAACTCACTAACCTTTTCCCTGTTTCTTCCAGTCTGGTTTTACCTTGAAGTCCAATGGCAGTTATCTTCAGAAGCTCAACTTGCCTTTCATGCCTCTCAACCAGTGCTTGCATCAAAGCTGTGCATTGCACCCCACATCCAATATCAAGGTTTATGAGATGGATTCTGGTTTGAAATGCCACATGTTCCACAATTGCTTGCACCCCAGCAAACTGCATTACTTGATTGAAAGGAATTTTTTCATGGCACGTAACAGCCATGTTAGTATCCAATCTTAGCTTCTCAATCATTTCCCTTTCCTTGTTTTTTTCACACTTGTTCAATGTCACTTTTCCTCTCGTTTGTCTTTTGATTCTTTCGAGAAGTGCTTGAGAGAAATGAAAGACAACTCTCTGAACGGGGCTTCCACCACCACCTGAGGAGTTCCACAGCAAATGGGAAAGTAGCATGCTGGCACGTTCAAATTGCTGGCACCCTACCCTATCAACAGCTGCCAGAAGAAACTGAGCGAGCTCCACGCCTCTATTTTCTTCTTCCGATAAAACCTGAAGGCTCATTCCATAAGGGTGCACGGGGATGCAAATATCATGATGCCACTGTGTAGAGTGTTGAAGATACCTTGCTCCGGCCAATCTTATTAGTTCTTCAGTTGATAACTTCTGAGGACTAAAGCAAGTTTCAACACTACACCTGATGTTTTGCGTCCCTAGCTTATTGAACCTGCTTCCATAATTTCTCAGGAGCTCTAATGATGCTAGAGAAGATGGCAGCACTTGTTTATCCTTTTGTCCCTTAGTTTCTTGAAAAGAAGACTTCTTTGGTGGCTGAACAGATTCGAAGTTGAACTCCTCTGTCATCACGTGATCAAAATCGAAACTACGTTGCTGCTTTTGAGTTTGATCTACGTGAGTATCTATCCCTGTTAGTTGCTCCGTTGTTGAAGAGAAAGTGTGCTCCCTTTGGAGCACAACATCCTCTCCTTGTATTGAGCCATAACCGCCAAGGAATTCGTTGAATTTGAAAGGTGTGAAGGAAAAAGGACCGCTTCCCATGTTGCGTTAGCTGAAATCTTGGAGGGTATTAACAATTTAAACTCGAGAGAATGAGCTTATAAAGAAAAATATCGACAATGGTGTTTGCACAATCATTATTCATGGTCGGAAAGGAATATTTGTGAGGGGATATATAATATTTCTAGAAGAAATCAAATGCCGCCGTCATCCATGGTTGGTTTATCATTATTGAAACAAATGTTCGAATCAATACAAATTATGAGTAATACTTAAAAGTTTTAATCCGATAAGTGTTCCTAAGAAGTTCAGCCAGCGTGACCAAAGAGTTGAGGAAAACGATGGATGGCCTTTTTTAATTAGGGAGTGGCCATTTCCAAGAAAAGTCCCACAATACCAGACAGACTTTACCATGCACAAAAATACCAGAAATATGCTATAGATTGCTGATGGTATATCTCTAGATCCTTTGGCTAAGACTAAATTTGTCCTGCAGCAGGAACTGTGCTACATTATGAGATGTTTCCTAGGAATTTTTTGGTTATATTTATGGCCATATGTCTTTGTCTAGTCTGGTAGGATGCATATACGAAGGCTTTTAATTGTAAGACCATTTTGTTGAAACTAAAGAAAAAGAAGTACTTCTTCTTTTCAATTAATACTTTGTTTGCATTATAGGGAGTCAAAAAGATGAAAATGGAGAAAAAAATGATGGAAAGTTAGATTGTTTAGATTAAAAAAAGTGAAGAAACACCAAAGAAAAATTGTGAAAGTTTGAGTTACCCGTACAACAAATTCCTTCAACGCATGACCTACATTACACCATTCCTATATTATTCAAATTCTATGCTTGAGTTTCTACATGTCATTGCAGTGAATTCTAAGTCATGGAAAAGAGTTTACCAAACAACTAGAAAATAGGCTAGATGATGAGGAGGTAGATGTGTGTGCGCATAATTTAAGGATGAGAACAAAACTAACCCCACATGGTTTAAGAAAAATATAAGAAATTGTTGCAACCCAATCCGGTAATACCTTATGGAACATCTGATTCAGAAGATTTATTTTTAATGTATTTTAGAATACATATTTAGAGTATACTTTTGGATCCAAATATATATTTAAAAAATGTTTTTAAAATACATGCTAGATTGCGTGATTTGGAAGGTTTTTCTAAATTTAGAAATACACTCAAATGTATTCAAAAAATATATTTCAAAACATGCAAGAAGATATGTTCAAATATGAAAATACGATTTGAAATACACATGTCAAATATATTTTTTAAATGTATTTCAGAGTAACTTTTACCTTTCATAATTTTAAAATGAGGAATAATTTAAGGTTTATGGGATTTATAGGGGTGCAGAAAGAATAAAAGGAGGTGGAAGAAACAGCCAGAAAGAAAATGTCAAGATCCATGCACCAATTACTTCGAAATTAAGTTTAAACAAAATAGTTTTACACTAAAAGAGTCCTACTAATTAAGTTTAAATTAAATAGACTGAGGGTTATATCGAAAGAAAACACAGTCCCGTATCTAATATATTAAAGATTATATAAACGTAAAAGTAATTATATCTGTAAACACTCTTTCACTGTTATTACATTTTAACTCAATAAATGGCAATGTAATAGGTTAACCCACTAAAACCCCTCACCTGTGTCAGCTAACCTTGATTGTCTATAGAAATTTAGGATCTTTGCAAAATTTAAAATCAAGTTATAATGTAGTTTCATTCATTAGTTTTACTGTATCCTTTCAATAAATAACACGTTTAATGGATTTATTCTAACTAACATTATAGTTTATCTTAAATGAGATTTAAGAAAAATTCATAAAAAATAGTAATGATGGTATTCGTAAGTATTGGCAATATTTTTATTGTGGTTAACGTATCTATTTTAAAAACAATATACGTTGACATTATATGTATGATTTACGTGTGACACTATTTTCTTTTATTATAACTTCTTTCAATATTTTAAAAATCAATAAAAAAACTATCAATATTAAAATATTCATAAAAACTTAAAATTGTTTGAGAAATAATACAATACTTTTAGTTCATTATAATCTTAAATTTAAAATTTTTAAGATTCAAATAAAACACCAAGCACGATTTTATTTCTTGAAAACCAAGCAAGTTGATGTACAATTATCAAAACTAAACGACTTTAATGATCAACTACTAATAATATGCCTTTAATCATTGATGCCTATAGCGAGTAATAATCCAAAGTTTTGCTAACATATCCAATACGATCGAGTTTGTACTTTGAAAACTCTTGGTACACCTATCTTTAAAAAATAAATAGGACGACATTCCTTTGGTGAAGTAAAGGTATATAGGATTAACACCATCACAACGAAATCACGACATTAGAGTTGGTCGTGGGAGATTAGCATCAAAAACCAATCTTATTAGACGGTTTGGAATGATTATTTCAGACGCGGTTCTAACAAAACAACTTATATATTATCTAAACGATAAAAAAAA